TATTTTAGAAGTTATAAAATCATAACTGATTCCTGAGCTAAGAAACCAAGAGTTAGTATCAATTCAATGGTCAATAGCTCTCTATAATACTCTCTCAATGCACATAAACCTAGTATTTCTGTAATTACATTACAAATTATAATTATCTACTGATTTGTGTTTAATATTTAACGTTAATGTTTGTGATAGACATTGAAATTTGTAATTTAAAACCCGTTAAAAAACTTAATCTCATTTTATGTTTGATTTTTTCTGTTTGTCTCTCTATTTATAGGATTTAATAATTGAAACCAAAAACTATACACAAATCAAATCAGAAAAATTAAATCAACAATTAATTAAAAACATTGAGTTTTTATACATGATATTTATGTATACAAAACATTGAGTATACAATTGTGCTCCCTATATAATCTAGTTAATTGCCACCAAAATAATCTAGTTAATTTTTTAATTAAATTGTGTTTGTTGTGTGCATAACCCATAATTAAGGCCAATTAATTAATATAGTGTTTATTAATTAGTAGTTATAATTAATTAATAATAGACTATTACTAATAGTCTAAATAGCATTAGTGACCATGTTTAACAAGCTATTAGTGATGTACCGTGGTCTTTCGCCCACCAATTACGCCTTAATCATAATTAATAATATGATTCAATCTTATTATCTGATCCAAAGTCGTTGCTCCAATTGGCTCCGATGGCGGCCGACCAGCGCTCAAGAGTTGGACAGAGCGGAGAATAAAGTGCTATCGTGTAAGTCATACCACAACCACTTCTTCAACCAATTGCTATAACACATGCAATGAATAACACATTACTTATTAATCCCTCAATAGTCCTGAAGAACCCGTTCCGGTCGTATCACGTGGACATCGGGCGCGTCGGGGGTCTCGACAACAACAAGATCTGGACACTGGAGATGACACCAAAAGTACAACCGCTAAGACGCGGGCAAAACGCCAACCAAATGGCCGCTAATACCGCCGCAAACGCTCCGCCACTCGTTATGATACACGGGTTCGCCTCCGCTGTGGGCCTCTGGACACTGAATCTGGACTCACTTCTGGAGACGAATCGAAAGATATACGCTTTCGATATATTGGGTTTCGGGAAGTCGTCGCGACCGGTGCTCAGCGCCGGCGACGCGTGCGAACTCGATCTCGTGGACAGTATCGAGAGGTGGCGCTCGCGAGTGGGTCTCGACCAGAAGTTTGTCCTATTGGGCCACTCGTTCGGCGCCTATTTGGCCGCCGCCTACGCCCTCCAACACCCGGAGCGGGTGTCGCACCTGATTCTGGCCGACCCGTGGGGTATGCCATCGCAGCAAATGAACCAAACACTCAATCAGCACCGCATACAACTGCCGATGTGGGCCCGTATGGTCTCCAAGATTGTGCAACTGTTCACACCGTTGGCCGGTCTGCGAGCGGCCGGTCCGTGGGGTCCGGGACTCGTTCAAAAACTTCGGCCCGACATTAAACGCAAGTTTGAACAGATGGCCGGCGAGGGGAACGCCGAGTGCTTTCTGGAGTACATCTATCACTGCAACGCCCAACCGGTGCCCAGCGGTGAGATGGCCTTTAAGTCGATGGCCACTGGATTCGGTTGGGCGAAGAACCCGATGCTGGACCGCATGCCAGAGTTGCATCCGGCCATTAACGTGACGTTCATCTACGGCAGCAAGTCTTGGGTGGATCGACAGCCGGGCTTCCAGACCAAGTATATCCTCGGCGATCGCGTCAACGTGGAGGTGATCCAGGGATCTGGTCATCACGTCTACGCAGACGATGCCGAAGAGTTTAATCGATTGGTGGCAGATGTTTGTCACGCGGAAGACCGGAGGCTAAACGCTCCGGCAGTCGATAGCGATGAGAGCGATGAGGAACGGGTCCAGACATTAACTGATTGATGACATTTAGACCCTGATGTTTGTGGTTTTGTACAGAATTGTCATCTCGATTGTTTTTGACTAGACTTATAAATAACTTAAATGTTTATAAATATTGTGTAAAATATATTTTTCTAATATTTAGTAAATTAATTATAAAATTAGTATTTAAATAGCAAATACTATTTACGAAAAATACTTATATTATAAATATTTTTATTGTTTTAATTATTTATTTAAAACCATAACTATTTTTGATCCGAATTTCATTAGAATTTTCTAATTTTAATTTTCCTATTTATACCCAAAATGTGATTTATTATTAAGTTTTAACTGAAATATTGTGTTAAAGTAATAATAATTTTGAGTTACAATAAATACAAGTGAATTAAAAGCTATTTTCTTAATACAGTATACATCATGTGTTTTCTCTCACTGTCTCACTCCCTCTCCCACTCTCTCACTCCCTCTTATCTATTAATATACACTTTCTTATGACATGAGAGTTATGGGCAATGAATTAAACACATTTGGTTTGCATTTCATTAACACTTTATAATACATTTTCTCAAATAAAGTGTTTGAAACAAAAAATAACAAACTTTAAGAGAGACTCGACTTAACGACAGGAGAGATAAGAAAAAAGTTTGAAAACTATTTTATTTGTTGATAAAAACCAAAAAATCATTACTCGAGTGAATGTCAACCCATTTGCTGATAGAAAGAGAGACTATTGACCATTGAATTGATACTAACTCTTGGTTTCTTAGCTCAGGAATCAGTTATGATTTTATAACTTCTAAAATATATAAAAGTTTACAAAAAGTTATTGCTTTTTGCACCACTTTTTTGCGTTGGTTTCCCTAATCATTGCACAAACACTTAAGTCAAGCCTTAATTGAAACGTAAGTGAAATTAAAAAAAACTTTTTAAAATCTAATCTAAAAAACTATAGGAGAAGAGCACTAATCGATTGCATGGGTTTTTTGTCACAATATTTTCCTTCAATTTATAAGTATTAATAACTTTAACACAAGTTTTAATTTATTTGTAATAAATTTCCAGTCAATAATCGCATAACCCTTGCATTTATTATAACATAATACAGTATTCATTGATTTCACTTTCATCTCGTTGTAAATAACATCAAAATTGCATAATTATAGTAAAATTATATGTAAAATACAATTAAAAGTAATAATCATTTAAATTCAATAAAATTATTCGATTAAAACTGAGACAAAAACTTACGACTATTTAAATCTCGACAATAGTCTCAAATTTGAGCGCAAATTAAAACCAATAAATAAAATTTATTTTAATTATAATTAATTCATTAAAACGTATGCATAATTAACTAAATAACTTTTCAACTTTTATATATAATAATAAATTACAATTCAATTAAAATAAATCGGCGACAAAAATACAAATCAATTTCTACACCAATTAAAACAAAAACCCAGAGAATTGTCCCAAAAAACAATAAACGGTGTAATAAATTGACAAACAATTCGTTATATAAATCAACAAAAAAATTATATAATAATTAACTAAACGTTAAAATATGTCACAAAAACAACTGAATCTGTCTTTTTGTTTGAGAGTTAAGACTAAAACAACTTTTTGTTAAGAGATTTAAAACGAGACAAAAATTTTTGAATGTGGAGAGAGAGAGAGAGAGAGAGAGATTTAATTAATGGCCTAATAAATTGTTTTTAATGACTAGTGATGTCTATAATTAACTATTATTGAATATTCAGCACTTTCTTAACGGCCAGCACTACGTCCGAGGGCTGCGGCAGTGACAGCGGTTCCAATGACTTTGTGTAAGGCATCGGTACGTCAGCGCCGGTCACACGAACCACCGGTGCGTCCAAATAGTCAAACGCTGGACCTAATCGGGTGACAAAAAAACAGACAAATTACAAATCA